TCCAAGTTCTGTGAAAAATTGTGCTGGAATTTTGATTGGGATGCATTGGATTTGTAGATTGTTTCTGGTAGGATTGCCATTTTTACTATAATAATCCTACCAATCCATGAACATGGGAGATCTTCTCATTTTCTGATATCTTTAATTTCTTTTTTCAATGTCTTAAAGTTTTGATTGTAGAAGTCAAAGTTTACTTGCTTGGTTAGAGTTACCCCAAGATTCCTATAGGCTAAGTAATCTTAAAATTATTTATTTTAAATCTCTTAATTTTTCTTCTATTTTTCAAAACTGTTTAGATTGCTCTTAGTCCTTTATCTTTCCATATATATGTCATACAATCATATTTTAAATTTTTTAAACAAATATAAACTAAATCTATCTACTAAGATTTTCTTTGAAATTTTCTGAGGAATTTTGGAGGAATTTTTATGATCATTAACAATATTTAATTCTGACAGTTAAGCATGGTTCAAATCTTCATTTATATGGATAATCTTTAATTTATGCTTATAATGATTTCAAATTTCAGAGTATAGATTTTTCTATCCATTGCTAAAATTTATGCATATTTCATAGTCTCCATATGTTGTTAGTGTTGGTTGGAGAGTTCTGTAATTTTTGGTTATCTAATAGAGATTGATTATATCCTTATTAATTTGTCTAATTTGTTTTTGCCTAACTTCTATCAATTTTCAAAAATATTGTTTGCCTCCTTTCTTTCATCATAAGTTCATTTTTTTCTAGTTCTACCAGTTTTCCTTCATGAATTTTGAAGCACTTTCACTTAATGCATCCACATTTAAAATTACTAAATCTTGATGAACTAATTTCTTAATCATTCCCTGTATTTGTGCCTAAAGATTTTCTTGCTCTTAAATATAACTTTATATTAACTTTATCTTATTGTCCTTTTATTGTATGTTATCTTCAGTTTTTATATTACATTTAAATATTTGCTACAGACTGGATGTAGTTGGTTCTCACTTTTTACCCACTCAAGTGATCTCTTCCTGTATTTTTATGGCTTATACCATTTTTGTATGTGGTCTTCTATCTATTTTGGCTCAACACAAGCATCTACATTTTGGTTTTCTGATTGCTTCATTTGTTTTATAGTGTTCTTTCTTTTCTTTCTATTGAGTTTTGTATCTTTTAATTATTTATATTATATCAACTTAACTTATTAGGTATAATTTTCATTTCCTTTTTAAAAATTATGTATTTAACTTATTCTGTGTCTATGTATGTGTCACAATACCCCTTTGCAGGTGACTGAGAGGTTCACAACAGTGTGCTTTTGTTCCCCCAGTCCTTTGTACTATCATTTCATACATTCTGCATATAGACCATATACACTCCAAAATAGACTTTTATTTACTTGTTTTAAAATTGTCCATTTTATTTTCAAGGACTGAGAAAAGTCTTTAATATTAGTACTCATGTTTTACATTTCTTGTGTTCTTCTGAGTCCAATTTTTATTCAGTGTCCTTTTTCTTCTCACCAGAAGACATTATTGTTGTTTGTTGCAGTTAGTGTTGTGTTGCTGTTTCATCTTATGTCTGAAAGCCAAGTCCATGGAAAAAAACAATATCAAGAGACAAGCATAAGGAAGAAAGGTTTTTTTATTATTATTTTTTGGATTGTTTTTTTCACAAGTGACCAAAGAATGGAGATGTGGAAACTTTCTTGTAGTTCAATCTCTCAATTCCAAGAAGCTGAGAGATTACAAACATAGTAAACAGAAGGAATATATATGTTTTCTCTGGAGATCATTTCTTATGTGGAAAATTTACAGAAATTCAGGCCCTATCTCTAATCATTCATTTCATTTCCTTGGGTTTCTGGTCATGGCAACTGGTTAGTGCATTTTTCCACAGAAGATCTTGCCATCAAGTTGTAGAGAGTAACCAATAGCCATAGCAAGATCCTGAGGTGTTTGGAGGTTTCCATGAGGCCCCTTTGCCAAACAATCAACAAGACATAACCCATCCCTGGCACCAAAGGTTTTACTTGGTGATGTTGGAAGCCCATTACCATCACTGTCTCTATTATTTGGTGACTCTATTTAGATTCCTTTCAAGTGTGTGTGTGTGTGTGTGTGTGTGTGTGTGTGTGTGTGTAAATGTTTGTGTGTGTTCCATATATTTGAAAGCTTCGCCAGCAGTAGGTATTCATGTGTATTTTCAAATGGCCTTTAATTTTAGTTGTCCCCCCTTTACCCTTCTCTCCTATCCTCCCTACCTAATCCTCTTATTAGAGAGTCCCTTTTCTCTTCATTATAATGTATTCTATTTCCAGTTCCTTGGGAGATTATATGTTCCCTTCTAGTTCTTTACTGCCTTTACTAGGTTTTGAGAGGAGGGTAAATATTCAGACCATAGAATTCACTGCTGCAATGTCTACAGTTCCAATGACATCTCAGTCAATACATTCTTATCACAAGAAACCTGAGTAGTTTTTTTTTAACTTCTGTTTCTCACTTTATCATTTAATATATTTTAGCCTTCTGAAATGATATTGTTTGGAATGAATAGATAGATAGATAGATAGATAGATAGATAGATAGATAGATAGATAGATAGA